ATCAATGTCGATCAGTTAATGCGGGCCAAAAAGTTGACATCTGACGCAAGCATTAATCTGAGGCACAACATATATATTTTATATTAATACGTAACTGACATGAAAAACGTGTTAACTTCGCAAAATGGGTGAAGAGAACGAAAGCCCTAAATCTATGAATGGCGTCAGCAAAAGCATCAATGAAAATAGTGCGGATGAACTTGACGATCTATTTGGCGGTGCGGGTAGTGACGAAGAACGGTATAAGCTTCGTTGGTGCTATTTTTTGCGTATAAATGGTTATACCATGAATTTGTAAAGGTTAATTCATATCTATTAATCTTTTTAAGTGAACGAGTAGGTTCTGATGATATTACTCCAATTGCCTCACCCATTAATTCAGACGATGAAGAGGAGGAGCCCACTAATATAGACGACGAAGAACGCCGGCTAAACTTTGAGTCCGAATCAATGTCGAATGTATTTCGCTTACCATTAAAAAGTTGGAATAATAAGGTATAAAAACGAGTAAATGTTATTATTTCATTTGTTAATTTGACTAATAACCTAATAAATTTTAAATTTTATAGTATATTGTCGCAAAAGTACCAAACTTTTTTCACTATACAACTGCTGCTTTTCGACCAGATACCTATAGCCAAGCTGATGATCAGACTGTCGAAGACGCGATAAAGTTGGGTGCACAGGATGGGCTGCGTTGGCGGTACAAAAAGGATCCAATAACACGTGAAGAGGCACGTATTAATAGTATTCTTCAAATTAATTCTTTTCATTCAAATTATTACATTATTTGCTTACTAAATTGTAGACTAATGAAAAAGAATCAAATGCCAGGATAATAAAGTGGAGTGATGGATCAAAGACTCTTCTTATTGGAAGGGAACAATTTGAGATATCTAGTGAATCTTTAGAATCAAAACACCAGTTTCTCACAGTTCCCCATCGAGGATCAAATACTCTCGAGCTTCACGAAAAGCTCACTGAGCATATCAACTTCTGTCCTATTACAGGCAGTGCTACTCATAAGAAATTAACAATAGCCATTCAATCTAGGCATGCAAAGCAAGTGAAAACCCAGTTCGTTGACGTGAATAAGGATCCCAAATTAGTTCAGCTTCAAATAGAGGTATTATAAAAGCGTACAAATTTGATTTTTGAATTATTATACGAAACACATACAACATATATTTTAATATAGGCTGAAAGAGAAAAAAAACATAATACGCAAAAACGCAATGCGAATACGAATCGTGGTGTACCCAAGGGACGCAGAAAGCATGATAATGATTCTGATGCAGAGGAAAGAAATTCTGCATTTGGTGTTAGTAAACCACGGAATGACTCGTATGAAGACGACTCTGGGTTTGTGGTTGCGGACGAGGATGATGACGATGATTTTGATAGACTGAAGCGGCGTCGCAAAGGAAAGGAGAAAATGATTGATAGTTTTCGTAAAAAAACAACTTCCAGTGTTGTATCATCGAAAGCCAAAAGGCATCACATTTATGATGATGAATCAAATGATGACGATCAAGATGATTCATTTCAAGTGGACGACGAACCATCTTACGAGCATCGTGATCGTCATGAACGGCCCAAAAAACGTGTAAAGGATCATCATTATATTAAAGAAGCACCTAAATCTCGCAGAAATAATAGTTTCGGGGAATCAGATGAAGAGAATCAAGGTGAATTCCAAGAGCGCGATGAACATTCTAAGAAACGGGCAAAGGAGCAGCAACATATTGAAGATGACGACGACGAGGAGGTTAATGTTGTAGATCAAATTGCTAGTGAACCTGACGAAGATGAAGAGGAAATGCCAATGGTAGTCAAAGGAAGAAAAAGAAATAGGAATGTTATCGTTACTGATGACGATGATTAAGTTTTTATTTTAAACTCATTCTAATACAAATTGTATTTAGAATTTAATTTTAAAAATATTAAAAAAATTAATAATTTCATTTTGCATGACACTTGATGATTGACATTCTAACCTGATGGTTTCAATTATCTAAATTATCATTTTCGAATAGAATATGTTGCCTATCGTTGAAATATATATTGCAGTGAATTGGCTATAACTGTTAGATAACAAATAAATATAAATTATATGCAAGAATAAAAGCTCAAATTATTTTATTTACAATCTAAATCTACTAAAATAGTTAAGATTTATCTAGATTTGAAAATTTTAGCAAATACAGTCGACCCTCCATATAGTCACCTCCCATACAATCACATCATATGTAATCACATTTTTATTTAGACCAAACTATGATTTAATTTATAAGAAAAAAACCTCCATATAAGCACAATCCCTTTAAAAGCACATTTCTAAAATAATTTACTATGCGCCCAACTCTGTGATTGTATGGGAGGATAACTGTATAATTTTATAAAAGTTTTACCGAATTACCGCACACCTGCGCGCATGTGTGCTATTTTGAGGTGAGCACAATTTTTTCCCTAAACTATGTAAATCATAAATGAAGATTTCCCATATATTTTTACTTTAGCTGTATCAGTCAGGGAATATGTCCCGCAGATCGATTTCACACAATAATGTTACACAAAAATTTTATACTTACTATATCGATCGTTATAAGAAAACTTGCAAAACCCTCTAATTATTTGACCTTAATAAAACTTGTTTTACGTGCTCTGTTACGTTTACAAATAGCTTTTTTACTTGGTTTTTTATTTTATTTTTCTTATATATGTAAGATCAAAAAAATTGTATTATTTTTAGACTTATTGCCCGCATTATTTTCAGAAAGAAAAGCTATTCAATTTTCTTTAACGGATCAGGCTAGTATAGGTAGTAAACTTCATGGTTATTTTGAACGAAATTTAGAATTTATTATTAATTTTTGTTAATACAATAGATCTAAAATTTTGCTATATTTTTATATAATTAGAAAATCATTTAACATAGGGACTAACAAGGTTGAGTAAGATCAGATTCTCAATCTTTCTTAGCTAATAAATATTGTTTAGCTGAAACATTAACTAATTCTTTAACCCATCTTCCTTTTACAACTGGTTCTTTAGTTTTGTAAACATCTTCATGTAAAATATTATATAATCGAACAAGACCTTTTCTGTAAAAATTGAACATTCATGTATAACCCTTATTATTTATTTCTTGTTCATGCTTAAAAAGATTATGCTGAGCAGGATCAGGAAAATAAAATGCGAAGGTAAGTTCATCAACAAGCTGCCACATAGCTTCAGTGTATTTTTTAACTGCTCAATCTCCAGTATTAACTATATTATCTTCTACAAACTCATCATATAACAGCAATATTCTTTCACGCTTATCTTGAATCACTGTTATTTTTTGTTTAAAAGTGTCTGGATCTGATAAACCAGAAGTTAAATTTTGCTTAACAAATTTAACTCCATATTGCTTCAAAGGTTCATCATAAGCTAAGTAGTAGTTTTCTCTTGTAATATTTACTGAAGCAATGTGCTTGAATAGTTCATATTGCTGAAGATTATATAATATTGATTCTAAAAAAGTCACAACTAACGATGTATAAATATTTTTACCAGTAGCAGGAAATAGTGGTGCAAATGCCGCCAAGCATATCTGCATTACCCAAGCGAATACTGATACGATGAGCCTTCTAGTACCCAGCTAAACGATAATACAAAAACTATACTTTTAGAATATTGTTATTTTTTCTGAATATAGTTTCTGTATCTAACTGTATATTGTTATTGTTTAAATAAAGGCGAATTGCTATTCCTATGACAATATAAATTAATTCTAATACTCTACAAGTTGCACAGTAATCTACATTTTGCTCTAACTTGTCAAGAAATCGGACACCAAGCTTTGCCGCTATACTATAAACACCATATCTACTAAATGTTGCAATTAATGCACTGCATATGGCCTTTGAAGTATGCCATTGTCCAAGAATAAATCTACAAGTTAAGTTGTTATTTGCATATTTTTTTGTTCTTGCAAAAATAGCTACGTCGCATGCTAAATCAACAACATTTTGTTCAAGATCTCCTAAATACATTTCGATTGATTTAAACACGGCTTCATTGCTATTAGGTGCTAGTCCGGGTTCTAATATAACAACATTTAGTGGGTTTACTCGATACCCTGGTTTAACAATAGAAAGTATTTTGGTATTCATTTCTTCAATTCCAAAATTTTTGTTATACCTAATTATTATTCTATCAAAATTTTTATCCAATTAGACGTAAATATGGATTGACCAAATAAATTTGGTTGAGATTCTGGATTTACTTAAGCAAGAGATGAGAGATTGAATGGAAGTTCAAATTGAAACACCATTCTTAGAGTGGTATGCACAGATTGCTGCATAATATTATATATATTTTCATATTTAAAAACAATATCCTTGAAGTCAATGTTATCAATTACAGCAACGTTCCATATATTCGGATCTTTGATTAATCTTGCCAAAGGATTGGATTTGTTTATACGCTCTTTTTCCAATCCTGTTTCATGTTTCCAGGTGTAAGATGTAATATATACCGTACGTAATATGGCTTGCAGGGAAGATATTAATTTAGGCTTTTTACATAAAGAAGCTATGGTATAAGTAAGCCATATTTTCTATGAACAAAACGTTATTATCAAAATAATAGATGCAAGAAACGATGTGATCTTTTTTATAGCAATTTTATTAAATTCAGGTTCCTTTTTTACACGTTGTCTATTTTTTTTTTTTCTTACTTCATATTTTCGTCTTTCAATAGATTCGATTAATCTATCAAAAAAACCAATAAGAACTAAAGGAAAATTGTTATAATATTCATCTAATGAGGAGGGGTTTTCTAATTTATCATGATTTTTTTCAATATCTTTACGTAAATTACATATTGTATTTCCCAACATTTCTCCAAATTGACGGCATTCTTCTACTTTTACAAGTTTTTTATCTGTAGGCATAGAATAATCAAACTTCTTAATTTTCATGGCAATTTTTACAAGCAATAGACTAGGTAAATCATACTCTGTATCTATCGAAGAAGATGATGATGATCCCAGGCCCAGGTTTTCTAATAATTTTATAATATGCCATAATACTTCTTTTTTATTTTTATTTTGGGAATGCAAGAGGTTAAATAACCAAGATAAGAAAAGCTTTAAAATATAGTTAGTATTTTCTACATGCAATTGATTATCGATACATGTTTGAGACTTTCCAGGTCCTGCACATTTATGAAGATGCCTACCATGTTTTTTGAAGCATTTTATACAGATATATCTAACATGTCTGTCATTAATAGTAAATCTCGAAGTAATATTTGAAATTTTATGAAATACTGGGCATAACTTCAAACCAAGACATGGGACTTTAACATCTCTCTTGCATACATTCCAACAATGTTCTATACAATCACTACCCTGGCTAAAGAAATTTTTATATTCGTTACAAAGTAAGCACTTTTTTTTATAAACTAAACTTTTAGTATAACGTCTTAATGATTTAGTACCAGATGAATGAAGTTGCCTATGATCGAAGTTGAAATGATTAGAACAAACTCCCAACTCAGTTAAATCTAAAGATTCTTCTGAAGTCAATTCTATTT